GACCGAGCGCTGATATTCTTCCAGTACGGTCCCGAGCAAGCTTGGTTAATAAGAGATTTATTATACGACTGAATTCAAAGGGACACGAGTGCGGTATCATTCGGGACAGTGCATTTTGCTTGTTATGTTGACAAAATGCATTTGTTTTTGTAATGGATTTGTCTTAAATAAAAGTTACAAAAGGTTGCAGCTTGATAGTTTTAAGAGCAGGATGAAGTATACATAGATAAATGAAATTTTTATTTAAAAGGAGTAATTCTCTATACTGATAGGATAATTGCATAGATGAATGAGACATCATTGTTAGTCAAATAATTAACAAGCTTTTAGCTGTTATCTTTAGGTAAAACCATACTTTTATTTATGTACTCCAGTGTATTTCTTTCTACAGGATATAAAGATTACATTTTAAAACATATGCTTGTATTAATAAACATATTTCCTTCAGAACTTTGTTTGAAATTACATTTAGGGTTGTCATTCTTTTGCTATATTAAAGTTTCGTGACAAGGTCTTACCAAACATTAGCAAGTCTTGCTGTTACCTAATTATTTGTTAAGCTAGATCGTATTCAAATGCAATAGCTTTTGTAAATTTGTAAATTTGAGTCTTTTCCAAATCCTTCTCGATCATAGCGCAGCACGTAAAATGAGGTTGTTACCCTTTAATGTTTTACTGAATAAATAGTTTGAAGCGGCGTAGTCTGCGTGACAACAATAATTGACTCGCCGCTGTAGCTTTGAAGCACGCGACCATCCTCAGGAATTTTCTCCAAGTGCCGCTTCTTGAGAAAATTCTCTCCTTTAAATCTCGCCGGAGACCAAATTTCTCTGCTGTGTCGAGCCTTTGGAAACTGAACGTGATTTTCTCACCATTCTTGGTCTCTCATCCCATAGTTGGGTTTATTTTCTGCAAAACGAACCCTCCTTACGCATTGTTTCTCCGCTGAAAACTCCATATTGGTATTCCAAAACCGGTGTCCTCTCTCTGTTTCATCCTCCATGCCTAAATGCCTTAGACATAGTTTGTTTGATGTGTTCGCGCTGTCATTATTTGCCGCCACTTTTGAATAGGCCTTTACTTTTCGAGCCAACTGCCGCTGACGATCTCTCCGCCAGCGCGCATCAGAGTTGCGGGAGGAAAACCCTAGGCAACTGACCATCATTTGCTTGGGTGTTAGGAATTCATCTACAATGACTGATCTGCGGCTCAATATTCATGATTTCCATGCCCCATATCCSTGAGCCACCTCTGCCGGATCTACTATGATTCCACTGTGTTCTCYTATTTTCAATTTGTCTTCTAGGAAGGCATTCTGCTTAGCAATAAAATTGGAAGCCTTTTTCGAAGATCGCAATGCCCAGCTCTGCGGTAACGCCTGAATTATTTACTCTGCAATCTTAGAGGTGGAAATATAGGTGCGCGCACTAGATCCTTCCTGATGTTTTTCAAAGGCATCTTTGCCTTGTCGAGAAGCGAGTGCCTTTCCTCTGTAAATATGCACTTGCCGTACTGTATGCGCCGTAATACTTTGCAGTGGTGCTGAAAAGTACTCACGCATCCTTCAACTTAAAAAGAAAAAAGATCGGCGGGTTTGTTGGCAATGGATACAACTTCTCTTCTTAAACGATATCTGCTGTCTTTTCTTGAAGAGGAGACTGCTTTTTGTCAAACAAAAGGATGTCTTAGAATTCTCCAAAAAAAAAGGAACCGTTGGGAAAGGCTGAATCCCTCTCTCAACCCATCAGTTTGAACAAAAAAAAAAGAGAGGATAAAAAGATGGCCATGAAAAATGACCATAACTAACGCGCCTGAGAAATTAACATTTGGTAAAAGTGAGCAAGATTTATAACGAAACAATGCCAGTGTTTGTGGTACTGACGTGTGCTTTGCAATTGTGGCCCAGGACATGGGGGTCCGCATGTCGTGTAATCCGAGAGAAGCAGAAGGCAGTTCAGGACAGCATTTCGTGAAGCGAATGCGCAATCTATGTTTGGCGCTAATGCATGGTATGTACAAATTCATTAACAATGCTAAAATTAAAGTGTAAATATGGCAAACATATTGATTTTACGGTTCGTTACCAGTTTCAAATTGTATCCGTATCGTACAGGACGCTTTTGCACTTGACGT